CCACCAGCCCACCATTTGGCAGAGGTCAAATGAGGAGAATGTATCTCAAACTCATCCGTTTCAGGAATATAAGTGGCTGTAGTTTCTAACCCTTGAACATTTGATCCATGACCTAACTCAGTTTGCGCATAACATCCAATTATTTCATGTTTTATTGCCAGGATGAGAAATTTCTTTTTTTGTTCTTCGGTCCCCTGACCTCTTATGGTCGGGATGAACATACTATGATGAACATTATACTTTGTTATTTAATTGAAAAGTGTAAAAAGATGTGAATAAAAAGGTCATTTAAAAAAAAAAAGGCCTTTTTTGATGAAAAATTGCAAGGATTATGAATATTTACAGGTCCAACCACATCGAGAAGCCGATTAGCTGTTCGATATTCCTCCACATCCCACTTATCGGTCCTATAATTTAAAACAAATTAATATCAATTCTTTTTCGCAAAAATAAAATAAAATAAAAAAACAAACAAAAACTTACACAAACAATTTAGCCATTTTCTTATCTCTCTTCAAAGCATATGAATACAATTCGGTTCTTCCCATAAAATAAATATGTCTTTTATCAAAAGCGGGTTCGCTTTCCAAAACCTTTAAGATCCTATTTACTCTAGATAACCCATCGGTTCCATACAATGCCAATGTTAAGTCTTTAACATCAAATGTTGCTTTAGATCTTTCTATCGCTAATAACTCTGATCCTTGAGGGTCTGAAGGAGTTAAATGCGATGGAATTTTGATGTAGGAAGTCATTTTGTATGTACTTGAGTTGAAGAGTTGTCGAATTGCTTATATATGGATAAATGCGTATATATACTTCATTCGTATTAGAAAGATCTTCGAGTTTGTACGTATAATTTGGTATTTAATGATTTATTACGTATTAATGAGTTTATCGATATATAATCGAATTTACGTACTTACATATGTTAATATGTAATTTATTGTTTATTTTTATAGATCTTTGAGTTTGTCATATAATATTTAATGATTCATTAGTAAGTTTATTTTATATCGATTACGTATAATCGAATTTACGTACTTGCATATGTTAGTACGTAATTTATTGTTTGTTTTTAAATTAACGTACGTATTAATCAGCAAAATTCAAAATAATCATTATCACATGATTATGGGATACATAGTTTGTTGCAGCAAATTGGAAAATAACAGGGTCCTTACCTTTTATGGGGCACGGGTAAAAAAAATAGGCATGCATGCCTTGGCTTGAGGCGCAGTGTTGGCAATTTTTAGTGGCCAACCAATTTTTTTGGCCTTTGGCCGGCCAAACTTTAACCAAAAGTTTCTAACTTTTATAATATTAACCAATCACATTACTAGTTTTGCTATTCTTGGCTTTTTTGGCCAATGGCCGGCCAAGTGGCCAAGTGACAACACTGCCCATAGAGCATGCCCATACAAAATCACATGATGTAAAAGTAACCAATCAAAATCGGTTAAAAGTATAGCTTAAAAAATTAAAATTTTCACATAATTTACTATAAAATGTTAATTGAATATCTAGCGTTAAAGATTCACAAAAAAAAATGCACACATATATATATATTAAAGTTCTACTAAGCATTTAAAATACTTATTTCAATATTCAATTAGTAAAAAGCTTCAAATATTCGGACAATCTCATAGATTTAGTTAATTGCCAAGCGTGATATACATATTAAGAGTTAACGAAATGCAAATACGTAGCGATAAATATTTTAAAAGTTTTATAAATTATATATCAGTCAGGGAATATGTCCCGCAGATCGATTTTACATAATAACGTTACACAAAAATTTTATACTTACTATATCGATCGTTATAAGAAAACTTGCAAAAACCCTCTAATTATTCGACCTTTTTATTTTAATAAAACTTGTTTTACGTGCTTTGTTACGCTTACAAATAGCTTTTTTACTTGGCTTTTTATTTTATTTTTCTTATATATTTAAGATCAAAAAATTGTATTATTTTTAGACTTATTGCCCGCATTATTTTCAAGAAGAAAAGCTATTCAATTTTCTTTAACGGATCAGGCTAGTATAGATAGTAAACTTCATGGTTATTTTGAACGAAATTTAGAATTTATTATTAATTTTTGTTAATACAATAGATCGAAGATTTTGCTATATTTCTATATAGTTGGAAATTCATTCAACATAGGGACTAACAAGATCGGGTAAGATCAAATGCTCAATCTTTCTTAGCTAATAAATATTGTTTAGCTGAAACATTAACTAAGTCTTTAACCCGTCTTCCTTTTAAAACTGGTTCTGTAGTTTTGTAAACATCTTCATGTAAAATATTATATAATCGAACAAGACCTTTTTTGTAAAAATTGAACATTCGTGTATAACCCTCGTTATTCATTTCTTGTGCATGCTTGAAAAGATTATGCTGAGCAGGATCAGGAAAATAAAATGCGAAGGTAAGTTCATCAACAAGCTGCCACATAGCTTCAGTGTATTTTTTAACTGCTCGTTCACCAGTATTAACTATATTATCTTCTACAAACTCATCATATAACAATAGTATTCTTTCGCGCTCATCTTAAATTGCTGTTTTTTTTGTTTAAGAGTGTCTGGATCCGATAAACCAGAAGTTAAATTTTGTTTAACAAATTTAACTCCGTATTGCTCCAAGGTTTCATCATAAGCTAAGTAATGGTTTTCTCTCGTAATATTTACTGAAGCAACGTGTTTAAATAGTCATATTGCTGAGGATTACGTGATACTGATTCTAAAAAGGTTACAACTGACAATGTATAAATATTTTTGTCAGTAGCAGGAAATAGTGGTGCAAATGCCGCTAAGCTTTTTAATTGCATATCTGCATTACCCAAGCGAATACCGATACGATGAGCTTTCCAATATCTAGCTAAACAGTAATACAAAAACCATACTTTTAGAATATTGTTATTTCCTCTAAATATAGTTTCTGTATCTAACTGTATATTGTTATTGTTTAAATAAAGGCAAATTGCTATTCCTACAGCAGTATGAATTAATTCCAATACTCTACAAGTTGCACAGTAATCTACATTTTGCTCTAACTTGTCAAGAAATCGGATGCCAAGCTTTGCCGCCATACTGTAAATACCATACCCACTGAATGCTGCAATTAATGCACTGCACATGGCCTTTGAAGTATGCTATTGTCCAAGAATAAATCTACAAGTTAAGTTATTATTTGCATATTTTTTTGTTCTGATAAAAATAGCTGCGTCGCATGCTAAATCAACAACATTTTATTCAAGGTCTCCTAAATACATATCAATTGATTTAAACATGGCTTCATTGCTTTTAGGTGCTGGTCCGGGTTCCAATATAACAATATTTGGTGGGTTTACTCGACACCCTGGTTCGACAATGGAAAGTATTTCGGTATTCATTTCTTCAATTCTGAAATTTTTGTTATACCTATATATTAATTGGTTTATTATTTTATTAAAATTTTCATCCCAATTGGACGTAAATACGGATTGACCAAATAAATTTGGTTGAGATTCTGGATTTACTTGAGCAAGAGATGAGAGATTGAATGGAAGCTCAAATTG